ATACTAACAGTTACGTCTGCTCTCAACCAAATTGACACATAATAAAGGGAAAGCTAGTCTTCTGAGATAAGAAATACTTTAAAAATTATAATTTTATTGCACATTTGGATCTGACTTGAAGGGTATCTTTTTTTTACCTTGTAGAAGTCTCTAGGCAAGTTAAACAAAATTAATATTAACTTAATATAAAACTATATTTAAAATGCTTCATAAATGGTTTTATTGTTGATTACTCAATCCTTAAAATATCCTTTACCCCTGATAGTTTGATCAACCATTCTTCTTCTTTTTCTTTCTTTTGTCTGTCCTGAGGCTTGAACTCAGGGCCTGGGCACTGTCCCTGAGCTCTTTCACTCAAGGCTAGGGCTCTACCACTTTGAGTCACAGTTCCATTTCCAATTTTCCGGTGGTTAATTGGAGATGAGTCTCAGGGACTTTCCTGCCTGGCCTGGCTTTGAACCATGATCCTCAGATCTCAGCCTCCTGAACAGCTAAAATTACAGGTATGAGCCACTAGTGTCTGGCTCAACCAGTCTTCTTCATGTACTAGAAAGGGAAATTTCAATTTGCTGCTCTCAATTCACAGTGATTGAAACCAGCCCTAACTGGTGTTCTGACCATGGCAGTCACAGTTTATTGAGTCAAACCTATGTTCCACAAAGTAATTGATTACACAGGTGCCTAATTTACATTCAAGAAAAAATAGAGTCGTGCATTTCTTAATGATACAGGTATTTGCATCACAGGGCACTTTCATTACTGTACACATATGCTAGGGAATACTCAAAAAACTAACCTGTTGATGTTGGCACTAAGTGATATATAGTCTTAGGCAACCACTGTCCAATATGTGGCCCATTATACACTGGAATGTGTGTCACAAATAACTAGAGCATTTTGGGAAGTTTGTCTCACCAGAAACACTTCTTGAAGCTCTGTGGTGGGAAGCACCAATTATGTTGTTTTACTTACTCACTTGAGGACAATGTAAAGAGGGAGTGATTTATTTTTGCTCACAGTTTCAGAGATTTCAGCCTTTGGCCCTGTTGATCCTGAGCCAATGGTGACAGAACATCATGGCAGAAAGAACAGGAGAGTCTTCACCTCATGGAGGACAGGAAGTAGGAAAAAGAAATATAGGAAAGCTCAAGAGCTAGATAAACACCATCCCCCACTCCTTCCCAGGACAAGCCCACAGCAGCAGTGAAGCCATTTGATATTAGACAGAGAGATCTAGAACCATGAGCTAACGCAAACCTTTTAATTAACTCAGGTGTTTCGTTATGGTCATGCAATGCCAACTAATATAGCAAGTTAATCCTGCAAGAACCCTTAAAACAACAAAAGTTTGTGTGTCAGAATACAAGTTCACTGCAGGTGACTGGGATCTCCATTTTGGCTTATCTTCATTCTCAGACCCTTATCTTACATTGTGCTGATATGGTAACAGACTCTTCTGGAGGGTTTGATACCAGGTGAAGTGCTCTTTTCTCAACTCACCGGGCAAGTTAGGAACATTGCCCAGATAAATTATTAAAAACCCAGGTCTGACCCCATAGGACTGGAAGAAAGAGACGGTAAATGTCTGGCCAGCCGAGCTAATGACTGACAGTTTGTTCCTCTGATTAGCAGATATTTGGCACACACTCTGTCTTGTAGGCACAATACATTCCTGTTTTCCCCAGAGGAGGTCATCCCAGGGTGCCACCCATCATGGCATCTGAGTGATGCCTAATTTAGGCTCTAAACGAGAGGATAACACAAAGTCATTTCTCGTTCAACTCTGGATATGGTTCTTCTTGATATAGTGTCCTCTGCATAGAAAAGATAATCTATTTGATTTACACACACACACACACACACACACACACACACACACACACACACACACAGAGCACATTAATATAGTAAAACAACTATATACTGTCATTTGAAAAGGGGTGGAATAGAAGATTCTTAGCAGCCACTGGACCTCAATTCAGAACACTCCCACCTCCCAATATGTTTCTTCGGGGCCTTGATTTTTCCTGGCAGGGGAGGGAACTCCACAGTTTATTCCCTTCATCCTTTGTGTCTATCCTTTGGAGGATGCCCTTTTTCCAGCAGACTCCTTGATCATATCTGTTAGGTTAAAATTTTTAAGTGGACATTGTTTTGGCTGAGCACCTGAATGAGGCCCTTCAGACCAAGCTAGCAATCTAAGTGAAGTCAGAAATTCCATGTCACCAATCTAAAATTACAGTTTATCTGACTTCCTGAGAAATCCAGATTAGCAAAATGACTGGCAAACTTCCTAAAAGCAGAATAATTATTTCTTCATTGTTCTGTCTCCAGTCACTACTTCATAAAGAACTAACTTTTAGATGACCAAGTCCATTGTTTGGTCTTTTGTTTCTGCTTACTTCGGCCTGCTCTGTCTATAAATCCAATATCCTTTGCTTGGATCATTGGAACACTTAATCTGTTTCATGGAATGGAGTGCTGTGCAATTCTAGAAAATAAAACCAAACTATGAGTGAAGAGTTGCTTTACATGTCCCAGGACAGGTTTGATCCCCAGCATCCCCTGTACCTACTCACACCAAATTGTAGAAAATGAAGTCTAAACTAAATTGCTGTAACTCTGGCCTCTGACAGATCTAAGGAACATGGGCTCCTTTGAGTCTGAGCAGCCTTCTCAGTTACTGCTGCTGCTTTTGCTGCTGCTGCTGCTGTGTGTGTGTGTGTGTGTGTGTGTGTGTGTGTGTGTGTGTGTGTGTGTGTGTGTGTGTGTGTATGTTACTGAGCCTTGAACTCAGGGCTTTGTGTTCTATCTTGACTGAACTGAGAAGCCCTAAAGTTAACTTTATCTATACTTAGAAACATTTTAAGTGTTTTAGAGTGTTAACAGTAGGCAGGTAGCCATTCTTTTCACTTGAGAATGAGGGTATAAAAGCTAAATGCAAAGTGCTAATTGACTGTTTTACTCAAAAGCTTTCTCTTCGTTGTTCTGTTCTGTTCTGTCTCTTGAAGGAGAAGCAACACTTTTTTCTAACCTGCAATCTGACTTTATGAATTTCATTCTCCCTGTTGTTTTTGGTTGTAAACTATTCAATTGTTTTCTAAGCTCTTCACCTTTCAAAATGCAGCCTATAATAGCCAACACATATTACTGCCTTTTGACTTTCAGTCTTTTCACTAGATCAGCAAACTTTTTAGTGTTTGCCTTCTGTGTTACTATAGGTGATAGTTTTCCAAATACTATTCCAGGAGGCTGGGAAGGTGGCTCAGTGGTAGAGCAGTTGCCTTGCATGCCTGAGGCCCTGGGTTCGATTCCTCAGCACCACATAAGCAAAAAGAAAAAAAGCTGGAAGTGGCGCTGTGGCTCAAGTGGTAGAGCGCTAGCCTTGAGCTGAAGAGCTGAGGGACAGAGTTCAGGCCCCACAACCGGACCCCCCCAAAAAAATGTGAATCCAAATACTATTCCAGTCTCCAACATCTGTTTCCTCTCTCCTTGCTGCTTTATCTCAGAACAGGACCACAGGTTTTATAGTTAAAGCTGCTGACCACCCCAGGAATCAGTCACAATGACCCAGGTTCTGTTGCAGTGACAGTGAGAGAAAATGCAGTTTCCTCTCCCCTGAGCTCCCACCATGATGTTCTTTCTCATTCTCCTTAGTTTTGAACCTGTACTCCTGCTGAGAATTTTGATGAATACTCAAGAAATACTTTTTAAAGGACATCTATTTAGAAAGATGGAACAGGTGTGAATTATCTAGAATTAACATCACTTCTAGCAAAGATGGCAAAGGCTCTTATCAATGCTACAGCTGACTTTATCATAACATCTGGGTATCCTAGATCGATCAATGGCAGGAACCAGTCCCACCTGATGACTTTACTGGGATGTCTTCCTGCTCTTTTTCATTCCACCATGGTGGTGGTAGGAAGCTTAAGTTTGGGTAGACCTTGATCTCAGTAAGATGATAAAAACTACACTTGTAAAATATGACAGTGCCTAAAAATATTACACTGTGAGTAGAAGAGAGAGAGAGACAGAGAGAGAAAGAGAGAGAGAGATCCAAGCCTTTTGAGTAATTAGGATATGGTTATAGGCATGAGCCACTGGATCCCTTCTTTGTACATGTATTTTTTAGGTTGGCAGGATACTCTAGACCTAAGAAGCACAGAAGAGTTCATTTCGCTTAGCATTATCTTGTATGGTTATGTGTACATAGCTATTGAGATATCCTCATCTTCTAGGATTAGCTTAGACATATACTAATTATTACAAATAAAGGAAACTATGGAACCTGTTTCCTTGGTTCTGGCAAGATGTTGCTAAGTAAAATGAATTCCAGGATGGGGACACAAGAGGGTTTTTGTTGTTGTTGTTGTTTTTAATGTACTTTGTGATTTCTGTTTCTTTTGTATTTTTTCCCCTATGATTTATCCCCTATTGTCACTGTATCTGATTTTGGTACCTGGGTATTGTATATATGCCCTTCTGAATTAGGGAAGGGAGGAGAAGGGGAACAACAACATGGTGAGATAAAGGAAAAAGTGGGAACCAGTGCAACAGTGATACTCACAAGACAATATGTTGGAAATGATCTGTACAACTGAGGGAAGGGGTTAGAAGGGAGGGAAAGTGGGAGAAAAATGAGGGAAGGGCTAACAAGTTCAGCAAGAAATGTGCTCACTACCTTACATATGTAACTGTAACCCCTCTGTACATCATCTTGACAATATTTTTTTTAAAAAAAGAAGCACAGAAGAATGACTTAGAAAACTGCAGAATCTTATTTCTTTTCTCACTTCTAAGCTTTTCACATTGAGTGAAGGGTAGGCAGAGTTAGGAGCACCTCTAAAACTATGTATTTTTCTTTGTGCTCTTTCTAAAACACAGAATCAGTTTTCAAATTGAATGTTCAATGTATTTTCTTTTTCAATACTCAAGAAGTGAATATTTGTTTGCATGTACAGAATTCAGTAGTGCTCTTTCTTTTTCTCTGTGTCTAGCATTCCCATGGTTTGGTATGGATATTGGTGGGACCCTGGTTAAGCTGGTCTACTTTGAACCAAAGGATATTACAGCTGAAGAGGAACAAGAAGAGGTGGAGAACCTCAAGAGCATTCGGAAGTATTTGACATCTAATACAGCTTATGGGAAAACTGGGATTCGGGATGTCCACCTAGAACTGAAAAACCTGACCATGTGTGGGCGCAAAGGGAACCTGCACTTCATCCGCTTCCCCACTTGTGCCATGCACAGGTTCATTCAGATGGGCAGCGAGAAGAACTTCTCCAGTCTCCACACCACACTGTGTGCCACGGGAGGTGGGGCTTTCAAGTTCGAAGAGGACTTCAGAATGGTAAGTGGGGCTGGTCCTTGTCAAAACAAATCAAGCCTCTCACATGGCCACAGCCATGACATTACATGTCTAAGAACTTGACAACTAACCTTGGACCTAGGCAAGTTTACTTTACCTAGTGCCTTGGTTTCTTCACCTAGAAGAAAACAAAAATAGCTGTAGACTAAAGAGTGGGTACAGGAAGACTACATGAGATAGTATGTGCCTGACTTTTAATAAGAGCTCAGTATATATTAATTTATTGTTTTCATCATTTCTGTTACAATTATTGCTGTGCAATATGGCAAGATGATATAATATTTATCTGTGTTTCATATTTTGGTTAACATTTTCCACAGACACTTGCCCTGTAATTATGGAGTCAGTCTTAAAGATATATAGACTGAGACTGAACAGAAGGCATTCTGTAAATCCTTCTAAGAATTATGACTTCTCTCTACCAGTTTGCTCCCCTAAGTGTTTTGGATTTATGAATATAGTTCAGAAGTTTTATTCACCAACCAAAATGAAGCTTTTAGGCAGGTGCTGGTAGCGTGTAATCCTGGCCACTCAGTAGGCTGAGTCTGAGGATCATGATTCAAAGCCAGCTTGGGCAGGAAAGTCCATGAGACTCTTATCTCCAATTAACCACCAGAAAACTGTAAGTGGATCTGTTCATCAAAGTGGGAGAATGCTAACCTTGATCAAAAAGAGCTCAAGGACAGTGCCCAGGCTCTGAGTTCAAGACCTACAAGCCACCGAAAAGGAAAAAAAACAAACTTTTGATAGTATATAGAAATGAGTTCTTTCATTAATAGTATTTTGGAAATATGGTTCTGCATAGTTGGGATAGTGCTTTTTCTTGATGTGGTACATAGAAACCCTTTGTATGATGTGGATGAGGAACATCCAAATGCTGTTATTTAGCAATCACTTAGCATCTGTGTGTCCCAATTTCCTCATCTTCTCCAGTTAAGATAACAATCTTTTTATTGCTTAGCTTTTTCCCATGGAACAAATTGAAAATATAGTTAAATAATCAGTGCAGCTTGTATCTTGGAAAATCATGGGAGAGTTGGACAATCAAAAGTGATTGAACAGTGAAAGAAAGGCTGGAAGATTTTAGGATTGATCTTTTTAGAGTTGAGAATCCAGTGAAGTAAGTTATAAGATACATATTCTCAAAACCTTTAGTACAAACTGCTGTGTTTAGTCATGGAACGAATCAATCCAGTCTGTTTATAAAGTCTGTCACTGTTGAATCAACAAACCAACACATTATCCATGGAACCTAATAATCTTTACATGCAAATTTTATTGTGCCATCTCCGTTAACATCATTTGCTATATAGACTATAGTAGGTAATCAGTCTAGGTCTGACAACAGAGTCCTAGAGTAGCATTCTGAGAATGATGATCCGCAGGCTTTGGCTCTTTTTTTTCCCATGTCATCTTTCCTTACCCTGCAGTAGTGATTGGTACCATCATGTATTTGAATAACCAGTAGGGTCCTTTACCAACACAGGTACTCAGTGACCAGTTTTGAAGCCAAAAAGGTATATAGATAGGAAAACTAAATTTGATTCCCTAATGAGAATAGCATTGGATCAGAATAGTCCTGTTGCTATATTTTATCATTTAGGAGACCCTGGGCAGGACAAGTCCTTCTTATGGGCCTCAGTTTCACCACCTGTAAAAGGTTTCAGTAATATAGATTAGAGGAAAGAGGACATCAGAACTGAAGGTGACCTCTGAAAACAAGGAAGTGTAGCACCTTCACCGTCTGTGGATGAGGAAACCAAAGCTTAAATTTTGATTAAGAGGCTCTAATCTAGTATTGCCTATTAGCTAAGAGCTGGGTTCTATTCTGACTCTGAATGAATGCTGGCCCATACCTGAATGGCTGTACTGTGAGCTCCTAGGTACTTCAAGGACATACCAACTGTCCATCTCTACTAACAAGGCTCTACTAACAAGGCTCAAGTAAGCCAAGATAACTGGTAGACTTATGCAACCTCTCTATCACTGCCTCTGTCTCTCCTCTTGGGTAAGGTATGTCCTGGTAAAAGGTTACTCAATCTGTGCTGGCCATGAATAAGTATGTTTCTCAAGGTTCTGAACTAAGAAAGGTCATATCAAGCTTTGGGCAGGCTCTTATCACCTCTTGAGTAGACTGGAACAGGGAACAGGTCTGGAATTTGCTAAATAGCTAACCAAGCTGATTGTCTATCTATAAGAGTCCATCAGAGGCCTTCTGTCTCCATAATCAATCTTGGCACTAAGTCTCTTCCCATAGCCTGTTTGACCATGCACTGAGTGATGTACCCATATCCACATTCTGTGGGGATGACTAGGTTTTACCATCCACCTTCCATAAGCTCTTTGACTTTACTTATGCAATGAGCAATTTCATTCACTCATTGAATGAATAATTTACCATGCTTTTCTATGTGGTAAGTACTGTTAGCAGCAAAACAAAGCTCTTACATCTACCTGCTCCCCTCACCTTCTGCCTATATTCTATTAGAGGAAGATAGTCAGTGATCAAACAAACAATAAATGGTAATAAGAGCTCTGAAGGAGGAAATGGCAGGGAGAGGAAGATAGAATGTTGGAGGCTTTATGATGACGTGATATTGGTGGAGACACCTGAAGAAGTATCAGAGTGACTATTTATATTTGGGCCAATGTTGTAGACAGATGGAAGAGAGTACCAGGACACACAGTTGTGCAAAATTCAATATTATATTATGTTAAACAATCTGACAAAAATAAAGCAGTACATATATGCAAATTCGTGTTGTATACAATCATTTTTTTAAGATAGGAGTTTTAAAAATACATATAGGAGTTTTTCAGGTAGGAGTTTTAAAAATACATCTGAGTAAAGTGCTGGTGGCTCATGCCTGTAATCCTAGCAAGTCAGGAGGATGAGACCTGAGGATCCCGATTTATAGCCAGCTTGGACACAAAAGTCTGTGACTCTTACTTCCAATTAACCAGCAAAATGCTGGAAGTGGAGGTATGGTACAAGTGGTAAAGCTCCAGCTTTGAGTTAGAAAGCCAAGTGAGAGTACAAGGCCCTGAGTTGAAGCCCCAGTACTGGCACAAAAACAAACAAAATCTGTGTAAGTAACCTATCTTCAGCAGACTCCAAATAGCAGTTTTTAGGTATGATAACTCTATCCTTGTTATATACAGTAAGTATACTTAAATTCTTAGATAATGGTAACTAGTCTTGATCTAATTTAGACTGTACAAGGAAAAGCTCTAAACTATGAGGCAGGCATTAAATATACCCCCTTTCTTCAATGTTTTCCATTGAACTCATGCTACATTGTGATATTGTTCTTACTTTTTCTTTTATTTCCTCTGGTCCTTTCTTTGTTGTTTTATATTAATATCATAGTCCAAACCAAATTTCTTTATTTTTAAAAAATATTTTTAAACAGGGTCTAGCTGGCCTTGAGCTCAATTCAAGGACTTGGCTTCCCTGGCTTTTTATTTTCTGCTCAAGGCTGATGCTCTACCATTTAAGCCAAACCTCTACTACACCTTTTTAGTTGAAAATAAGTATCTCACAGACTTTTCTGCCCCCACTGCTTTTAACTTCTCAATTCTCAGCCTTTTGAACAGTTAAAATAACATGTATGAGCCCACAAATGCCCAGATTATAACCTTTTCTGCCACTACCAAGTTGATTTCTGAACTAGGGCCCATAAAAACACTTTGGGCCAGGCTCTGGTGGCTCACGCCTGTCATCCTAGCTACTCAGGAGGCTGAGATCTGAGGATTGCGGTTCAAAGCCAGCCTGGGCAGGAAAGCCTGTGAGACTCTTATCTCCAATAAACTACTAGAAAACAGGAAGTGGTGCTGTGGCTCAAGCAGTAGAGCGCTTGCCTTGAGCTGAAGAGCTCACAGACAGCACCCAAGCCCAGACTTCAAGCCCCACGACTGACAAAAAACAAAAACAAAAAAGCAACACTTTGGGAAGTATCATATATTATACTGATTTGTATTTACTCATTTCGGTGAACAGCTTTGGTACTTTATTTCTCTCTTGCAAGTGAGTGATATGACTGGCTAGGGGTAGGGCTATAGTCTCTTCCCAGGGAGTAGATGTGGACCCTCTTGAGATGGTTCTATCTTTTGGGATGATTTTTGTTTACTTAGTTAGGTATTTTTGATAGACTAAGCTACAGCATAGAAGGAAACCCTTTTGGAAATTAGCCTGCCTATATTTAAGATCCATATTTTTTTCTAATTTTAATATGTAAGCAATCCCTGAATGTTCTCTAAAAATGAGTGTTCAAATTAGAAGTATTTCAAAATGTTTTTCAACTTCTCCTAAGAGCACCTAAGTTGTTTTACTTCTCATGTGTATAGTAATCATAAATCACTTGTATTATCCTTTCCAAAGCATCTTCATACAAGCATCTCATTTGATTTTTTGAATTAACCTAGGGTAGGAGCTATTGGGGAGAGTATGTGAAGTTTGATTTAGATGCCAGCATCTTTAGCATCATCTAGGTTATTACTGGAAACACAATTAAAAACACTAGGGTCATGAAGCACAGCTCTGTGTGTGTGTGTGTGTGTGTGTCTGTCTGTCTGTCTGTATTTTTTTTTAACAAAGATGATTCTGATACATAAAAAGTTTAAGAACCCTGATATGCACATTCTTGTTTGAGTGACTTTGGCCTGCAATGTATAAACCAAAACTATTTAACTAGTTGTCAACATATTAAAAGTTTACGTTATATCTGAATTTCAAAAAAGTAAGATCATCGGGCAACTCCAAGCCCTCATGACCACATGATGTGCTGGAGATGAACTGTAATATGTGTAGTTGTCCTGTTGGCACAGTCCTCGTTATTCTATTATTTGTGTCCTAGTTCTGGACCTTACTCTTTTATGTTTTCTTACTGTCATCTGTAGGCATGAGTTTTTGACCCAATTATAAAAAAAAAAAAAAAACTCAGACCAAAGAAAATGTTTCTTCTTAGCTGTAATCTTTACCTGGTGCAAGCTTTCTACAAATCCCAATTCATCGTTACTAAGAAACTACAAAGTTTGGGATTTAATTCCCAACTTGTTCTCATTTTCACAGGGCCTGCTTGAAAATCCAAATAGCAATTTGGCTGTACCTCTTTTTCCTACATATCTGAACAACAGTGACAAAAAAAGATAAATAAGATGACTAAGATAATAATGTTTGTTAGCCTTCTAGGGCTGCTTGGCCTTGGGGATCCAAAAATACCTGTCCCTCAATAAAATGTGTAGAAGAGGTGTTTGTTTGCTTGTTGCACTTGGAAATCATTTTGAGGGGAAAGGTGAAATAATGATGTCTTCTTTCAGAGCAAAGGTGCTTAGTTTATTTACTTTCATAGGTGTTTTCTTTTTTTCCTCAGTATAGTTTCAGGGTGTCCATCTGGACATACTATGTCTCTGTCCATGTTTATGTTGACTCTGTCAATATTGTTGGTGAAACTCTGATTAATTTTTAAGCAAGTTTTACTTGTGGTTCCTAAAAATGCTGATGAAATTGCCACTTTTCAGATTGGGTTGGTGTATAACTTTCCATGTTCACTTAATAGATGTTTTACTAAGTGTTGAGTAGAGAAAGGAATTTAGCATGGGCCCTACGGGCCCATGATGAACCAGAAAATAGCCAGATTGTCATCAGTGCTGTAAGTGCAATGGAAGACTGTGGAATCTGGGAGCACAGGAAGATATTTACCCTATGTCACAGTATAGTCTTTCAAACATCAGGAGAGTTCTGGACCTATCACATGCCTATCTTAAAACATGTGTAACTATATGCATCTCATTCAAAAGTTTTAGTTACTAAGAATTAACATTAGTTGCCCTGGCTTATGGCTATAAAAATCTTAGCTACTCAGGAGGTTAAAATCTGAGGATACATGTTCAAAGCAGACAAATCCATGAGATTCTTATTGCCAGTTAATCAGCAAAAAACTGGAAGTGGAGCTGTGGCTCAATTGATAGAGTACAAGGCTCTGAGTTCAAGCCCTAGAACTAGGAGAAAAAAGTCATTAAGAATCATTTATGGGTCATATTTACTTATTCATCAAGCCTCATTTCGAGTGTTTATTTCCATGTATCAAAAATATTTCCACCACCAACCTTACATTATTCTAAGTAGTTCTGTTTTTCATATAGAGATTTCAGTCAGCTTTATTAAATAGAAAATTCAGATTAGTGATGCAAAGTCAAATCTTTTTCACGTAATACTTGGTAATTTTTATAATGAAGATGATTTTCTTTAGTAAAATATCTAAGTCTAATAATTGTTTAGGTTGTTTCCAGTCTCTAGAAACAGTACCCTTTATAACAATGAAGATAAGACAACAGAAAGACAGGCTCTGGTGGTTCATGCCTGGTGGTTAATGAGGCAGATATCTGAGGACCATAGTTCAAAGTAGCCTAAACAAGAAAGTCTGAGAAACTCTTATCTGCAACTAACCATCAAAAAGAAGGAAGTAGAACTATGATGCAAATGGTAGTGCACCAGCCTTGAGCAAAAAAGGTAAAGGATAATAGTTAGGCCCTGACTTCAGGCCCCAGTACCAGCACAGAAACAAAACACAAGCAAAACACAAGCAAAAACAAACAAAAACAGAGAGTAGTTGGCTGGTAGTTCTTTGCTTGTTGTTCACTCAGTGAACATTATTTTCTATGCATCTTTACCACAGAAAAACATTAATGATACTCATTGATAAGACTTTTTTTTCATTAGTTCTGGGTTTTTTGGTTGTTTTTTAAGTGGCAAAGCAAAGGGTTAATAGAGAGCAAGGAAGACTGTTAAGCAAATTGGCAACCTTCAGCTAGATTATTCAGAACCAGGAGAGAGAGAAAAACAGAGAGACAGAGTTAGACACACACACACACACACACAGAGACGAGACAAACATGGAGACAGAGACAGAGACCATGGGGGAGAAAAGGGAGAAACATTTTCTTTTTTTTTCTCTCTTTCTTTTGTTAGTCACGGGACTTGAACTCAGGGCCTGGGAACTGTCCCTGAATTCTTTTGTTCAAGGCTAGCACTCTACCACGTTGAGCCACAGATCTACTCTCAGTTTTCTGGTGGTTAGTAGAGACAAGACTCTCACAGACTCTCCTGCCTGGGCTGGCTTTGAACCTTGATCCTCAGATCTCAGCTTCCTAAGAGGCTAGGGTTACAGACCTAAACCACTAGCAGGTGGCTCAGAGAAACATTTTCTATTCCCTATGCAAAAAGTGGAAACAAAGACTCAAAATGGTGGTTTTGAGTCTGGGAAATACATGTTGACATGTCTAGCAAACCCTAATTATTAGACAATGATTCTAGGTGATCATCTTCATCTTCACAGTCTTCTTTGGGTCTTTCGTGTCTTTCTGTATGTGCCTTAAAATGACTCTAGCTGTTGGGTTTAAGGCCCACCCAGATGATCTAAGATGGTTTCTTCAAGATCTTTAACATCTACAAAGATGTTTTTCTAAGGTTACATTCGCAGGTTCAGAGCCATCAAAGACACTGAAAGGCCCTTTTCCAGCAACCAGGAAAGCTCCATCTTCTCCCTTGTATATAGGTATTTAACAGTAGATTGGTTGATTATCAGCATGATGCCATAACTGGATAGGATGCTTCCTTCTTTTAAATTGAATGGCCCAATTTGGGGCTTCCTCCAAGGTAGTCCATGGCATCTCACAAGGTTTTGTTTTCTTTCAGATTGCTGACCTACAGCTCCATAAACTGGATGAACTGGACTGCCTGATACAGGGTCTGCTTTACGTCGATTCTGTGGGCTTCAATGGCAAGCCAGAATGTTACTACTTTGAAAATCCCACAAATCCTGAATTGTGTCAAAAAAAGCCATACTGCCTTGATAACCCATACCCTATGTTGCTGGTTAACATGGGCTCAGGTGTCAGCATTCTAGCAGTGTACTCCAAGGACAACTATAAAAGAGTTACAGGGACCAGGTAAACATGGTTTTCATTAGAGGAACCGCTTTGTTCGTACAATCAGGCTGCTTCCTTGATGATTAATGCATAGTAAATCTTTGTGTTGAATATGTTCTTTGTTGTTGTTGTTGTTTTGGGGCCAGTACTGGAGCTTGAACTCTGGCCTCAAGCTCTTGCTCAAGGCTGGCTGACACTCAACCATGTGAGTCACACCTCCATTTCTGACTTTTTGCTGGTTAATTGGAGAGAAGAGTCTCTTGGACTTTTCTGCCTAGGAGGACTGTCTTAGATCTTCATCTCCTAAGTAGCTAGGACTATAGGAATGAGCCACCAGCGCCCCCTTTTTTGTCAGATATTTTTGAGAAGCTCTAGTGTAAATAAAATTAAACATTTGTTATGAAGTATTCCTCTAACATATTGGACCAAAAAAACTATTTTTAGAGGAACAAGTTAAGGAATGAATGGCATTAGAATGTACTTTGGGATATGGTATTGAAAATATTGTTTTGTACGTTTGTGTGTATGTTTGTGTATACTAGTACTGGGGCTTGAACTCAGGGCACTAGGGCATTGTGTCTTGCTCAGCATTTTTACTCATGGCTAGTACATTGCCACCTGAGCTGTGTCTCCATAATTAATCAGCTTTTTTTCTTTTTCTTTTTTTTCTGATTGTGTTTTTTTTTTTTAACTTGGGCTGGCTTTGAACTGCAGTTCTCAGATCTTAGACTTCTGAGTAGCTAGGATAAATTTTAGGTGTGAATCACCAGGTGCCTGGTGAAACCATTGTTATTGACAGATTGAAGACTTCATGTTACTTTTCTAGGTCTCGGTATCCTCATTTCTGTCATGCAGGTTGTTGGTACATATTGTTTTTAGAAGCTTTCAGGGCACTGAAATATCACAGTACTTCTCACCCATTATAAGTAGAACTTCTGTTTTTCAGTGTGTTGTCATAATTGCTGATGGATCTACATAATTTATGTTTGGCAATGTCTAGAGACATTTTTTATTGTCATCCATGGAAGTAGGATGTTGATGGCATCTAGTACAATGAAGTTGAGGATACTGCTGAAATCTGACAGTGCCTAGAGCAGCTCCTCCAAAATCAAAGAAATTAGCAAGCTCCAAATATCAATAGTGATGTTGCAGAGAAACCAGGTGCGCAGTGACTAAAGCCTGTTACGGAATGTAGGAGGTTCTGTGTGTCAGTACAGAAGCTTGTTTGTTTATCCATGAATCAAAACTCAGCCCATCGTTTTCAGGAATTCTGAGACAGGGCACTTCACCGGAACTGCTTTTACTTAGAGAGTAATCTCCTAATCGTGGTATAGTAATTTTTTAAAAAATCAAAAACAAATAATACAATAGACATTCTGCCAGGAGTCGGTAAAGCTAGTCTCAAGGTAACAATAAGCTAAACATTTCCACAATTAGTTCCATTGATGAAATATTCACTGTTTCATCAGTTATATAACAGGTGGAAAGCTAGGGAGCTGGGTCATTTTGAATAGCTGCCAAGAATCAGTTGTGGCTTTGGCTTCTCTTTCATGTGAAATAATCCCTATAAAAATCTAATTATTGATAAAAAGCCAGTTCATGACCAGTGTTCTTCAATCCTCAACAAATTCTATTTGGATATTTATAGGTTCTCACATCAACCAGTGATTTGGGAAATGTGTTAATGGGAATCCCTTTTGGAGACTGCTAAAGCTACTGAAGGGGCATTGAGTCATCAAATCTATGGAGCTTTTGATACCCCAACCAGAGTGATTTTGTCAAAAATCTTTCCCTTCCTCCTTTTCTCCTTCACTTCCTTCCTTCTTTCCTTCCTTCCTTCCTTCCTTCCTTCCTTGCTTTCTCCCTCCCTCCATCCCTCTCTTCTTCCCTCCCTCCCTGAGCAAGGTTTCACTAGGTAGTACAAACAGGCGTCATCCTTGCAATCATCCTTCCTCAGCCTTCCCAAAACAGGGATTCTAGGTTGTGTTGCTACACTGGGCTCAAAGACCTCTTTGATCCATCCAAGTTATAAAACCTCCAACATAAACTGTAAACTTTGCAGTTAACATCATCAAGTGGAACACACTTTGAGAATCACTGATAAGAGCAAGATTTTCTACTCCTCTTGTGAACTGATAGCTTTTCCTATTGTGTTACATACTATTTTCCCATATTAGAATATTTTTAGAAGCCATTTTACCACAGTACTCTTTCAATTTTGTTTTAAATGTGTTTTTAAATGTATTTTACAGCTGACATTGTTAGAATCGGATTTGTTTAAATATAATGAACCTAGAATCTTTGGCAAAAGTAACAGTATATGTCTCACTTTTATTGAACCTATTTAAAGGTAATGCCCATCTGTGTTCATTAATGACCAATGTTCCGCAGTTGTCAACAGCTTAATTACTAAAATGAGTAACTGGGGCTGGGGATGTAGTTCAGAGGTAGAACTGGAATGCGCATAGTCCTGGGTTCCATCCTCAGCACTGAAAGGAAAAAATAAGATGAGTTTACTGAAGATTTATTTTACTTCTCTTTAAAATCACAATGATAGCTGATGATGCTCATCAATGGCTTTGTCTAGCAACACAATTTTTGTGTCTGGTGTAGTAAGAGTTTTACTGTGTGTCTGCCAAAACAAACATGTATATCTGATGGTGAGCAAGAAAATCACGTGATCAAGTAATGGTTGGCAGATTGAGGATGTTAATAAAGTACTAGGAAACTGTTGGCTCTTCTGTTACCATGCATCCTTCCCTCTTCTCTGCAGTGTGCCAGCTGTGCAAACTCATGCTTGCTTTCCTCATTTGACTCTTTATCTGGAATCACCTGTCATTTTTCCAGTTGTACTTGCCCTTTCTCACTTATACCAACACATCAGTTGATGAATTACCTTCTTTCTAAGTCAGCCAATTTCTTAAATTGCCTACAGTTGGGGTAGATCATTGAATGCGGTGGTTCAGATGGTCCTTAATGTTCAAAGAAAGATTAGTAGGGATGAAAGATATTATGAAGCTAGAAATATAAGCAAAGATTTCTTCCCTAAAATATATAGGCACAAAACATCAAAGCACTGGCCAACGCAAAAAGTGTCCCTATTCAGACACACTAGCAGGAATAGGAATATAGCTAAGTGGTAGGCAGAGTACTTGCCTAACATGAGCAAGATCCTTAATTCAATCCCTAGCATCACAAAACACTCACACATACACACACACACACACACATACACACACACTTTGTATGGTAGACTGAAGCCAACAATGTTGGCATGACTTTCCATGTAAATGTAAATTAAGATAAACGTTCTTAGAAGGAATTCAGAATTCCTTTGGTCTGAGTTGTCAGTTTAGCATTGAATATGGAACTCTGTTTCCTCATGGCCCTGTTTCTACAATTTAGGTAGGTGCTACTAATGGTGCCTACCTACATAATTTTCCATGAAAAAGACTCCATCATTTCCATCAAGACTGTATTTCTGTAAGAATCACAGTTTAAGAATATTACACGAGGTTTTGCTGTAGATGCAATTAACAGAACTATCTGTCTATAATCTGGAACCTTCTTGTTACTAGTCATTGATAATAGATAATAATATACCCTAAATATTTAAATATTTTATATCAAAATATTATATCCAAATATTCTTATGTCAAAAGAACCATATCCCAACTTGATTTTCTGTCTTTAGAATTAAAAGCCAATGCCCCAACACAAGTTCTGTTCCCAGAGCTAGTGGCTTATTAGGGCCTCCGATCAATTGACATGAACAGCTAGTTCTATTACATTTATTTTTTAATGGAAAACAAAGAATGAAACCTAGTCCAACAATTTAGGGATTAGAACTCCATTTTCTGCTATGATTTCCCTGGTAGGAGGTTGGCTTTTCTTTTCACTAGGCAACTTTCATATGAATACACAATTGTGGTTATTCTCAGCTACTATAATTAGTTCTGAATTAGGGCCCCAAAACCTAGCTTAGAAGATTTGTCTCCTAAAAACAACTGAAAGCTTCTAAAACGTAGTTGAAGCATTAGAACCATTTTGTGACCTTTTTCTATTTGGTGGTAAGTAAAACATCAATTTTTCTCAAAAGACTGCTAGAAAAAAAAATCGCTATCCAATAAATCAATAGTTCTCCCCAAACAAAAACAAAACAAAAATCGTGTATAAGATTTGCTCTGCTGGAGAAGAAAAGTCAGTGAAAAGGAAGCCTTCAGACTGGCTCTTTGCAGAAGAGTCAGTTTTGTCATTGGATGGTTTGGCTCCATACTTGTGAACTAAGTACAATTTCTTTTACTTAATATTTGTTTTCAGCTGCCTGTGGTGTTATAATGGTAATTTGCTGCTTTAGACCATCCAAAGGAAAGAGATCATGATCTGGCCCCTTGTCATAGGTAGGAAGACAGGTTAGCGGCTAGCTGAAGGTCTCACAACGGAAATCAGTGAGAATGTTTCTTGTTTGTTCTCAAATTTAAGGGCAAGTTTCCCTTCAGGATCAATTTTGATCTCTGCCCTCTTCTACAATCTAACTCTAAAGCTGTTTTGCACTCTAGCACTTCAACAGAAGTGCCCCTTTGCTTTGTTTTTGTTTTTCTTAATTCATAACAATGATTTTAATGTAGTTGGGGACTTGGATGGGAGTATCTTAAGATAAAATTTAAAAAAATGAACCTTGTTGTTCCTTTAGTCTTGGAGGTGGAACATTCCTAGGCCTATGTTGCTTGCTGACTGGTTGTGAGACCTTTGAAGAAGCTCTGGAAATGGCAGCTAAAGGCGACAGCACCAATGTTGATAAGCTGGTGAAGGACATTTACGGAGGAGACTATGAACGATTTGGCCTTCAAGGATCTGCTGTAGCATCAAGGTAGAGACAAAGTAGCGAGGAGCTGTAGTGATTGAACATGAGGCAGCCTCTCCATCCTGGCCTTCATTTCATTGTTATTATCCTTAATTTTTAAAATAGCAACCCGACCAGCCTGCAGCCTGGTACAAATATCTATCTTTGTAGATCTCACACTTGATCTCTTGTCCTTAATTGAAGCACTGAGACATTTGGCTCTCCATGCTTGTGCTTAAAATAAGGCAACTTTGAAAGAAGGTTCTGGAAAACTACAACAGTTTCCCTTGTTCCATTCTTGTCCAGATCTAGAGACATTGAGAAACTTTCCCCATGAATAGCCATACTACTTTGTCCCTGTTAAGAAAGGGGCAGGTAGCCATCCATACAGTAATCCTATCTGCTTACAAACCATGGTAGCAAAATCAGGCTATTTGAGTTTGAACAGTTTATTCATAGAGCGCTCCACAGTACCGTGGTGGAAGTGTGGATCCTGCTGAGGATGCTTCTGAACACTCTCACTAATATTTCCAACATAGTTTTGGCAACATGATGAGTAAAGAAAAGCGAGATTCCATCAGCAAGGAAGACCTCGCCCGAGCCACACTGGTCACCATCACCAACAACATTGGCTCCATTGCTCGGATGTGTGCACTGAATGAGGTAAGGCCTTAACCCAGGAAAGCTGTGTGTTATTCATGCATCACCCCTGGTACTGTGGAACCTGCGACTCTTTCAAAAGTACATATCCTTGAGACGCCTATCCTTTATTACATAGTCACACCTCATAGAACAGGAGGTGTTTGGGGATGAAGGAGGAATATGTTTTTTTATTTTTTAAGTAGACACAGGATGAAAACAAATGTAAACAAAATTCCAACCCATGCCATAGCCTCTCTAACCATCAGTTCTGCCTGTGCCCACCAAAATGTGAGAAGTTCTATTCATCCTTGCAAATCACGGCACATAAAAATGTTTCCACTTGCAATATTAGATCTTCTCTTTGCTTTCAGCTTCTTTACAGTGTTGCCTTGTGGCATGGAGTTCAAGCAGCATTGTACAGGGCTATCAAAGCACAGAGAGCTCGCTACAGCCAAGGCCAGCCAAAGTTCCAGGCATAAGAAGGGGTGGAGCTGGTAACAAAGCTTTATTAAGAAGTTTTGAAACATTACAATATGGGAGAAAGAGAACTCTTTTCTGAAATATGACTTATAAAGTAAAACAGTTAACTCTCTCTCTGACCTTTATGAGGAAGATAGGAAAAAATAGTTGGAGCATAGGATAAATAATAGGAAAAGTATTAGAGAACCGTAATAGATCAGTAATGGAGTTTTGAACTATATATCTTTAATAGAAATATGACATACCTATAAAAGAGAGATGAAATATTAGTGTACAATTAGTGGACTTTTGTACAAAAACACAGGTATAGCATCACAATTCAGATCAAGAAACAACATTAGAGATCATTTAAACCCCTTTGAGGCTCCTCTAAGCTAAATAGTGGAATATTGAGGTTGTGAGTCATTATATATATTATATATTACATTATATATAATATGTTATTATATATAAAATATAATATAATTGGCTCTGCCTTTGAGCTTTGGCATTATAAAAAGACGCTACCTTTTAGGATGCAGAATGGAGTAACTTTGACTTTTCTGGAAGTCTCTGGTCCAGATGGAATTTAAATGGGAGGCTTATATTCAGACAGAAGTGTATTCTAGAGAGACTGTGCAAAGTCCACGTTGATCATGAGATTCATTTTCACCAAGGGTTTATTTTTTACCATTAACCTTTAAAGAGTGTTTCTTTTCCAAGTAGCCAAACAAGCCCTAGAACTAGTATGTGCATAGTTGACCATATAGTTGCAAGCTCTCAAAGGTCAGTTACATGGCAATACCCTTGCCCCACAGAGCAATAGATAACCTTTTCCCTACTTTCCCCAGAGCTGCCTTCTGCCTTGCATTCTGCTCTAATGAGCCAGCAAATCTTTTTACAGATACCACAATCCCTTTAGGAGAGGATATCTGACATTTTTCACTATTTCAAAATGTAGCCATATTATATGCTGGTTTGAGCAACTACTTTACATGTTCCTATGGTGTTTATGAATGATAGGACTCACTCACTATCTCAGGGTCTGGGTGAGGCATCTGTGCAAGCTCCCAGCAACTGGCAGCCTCGTATTTCCATGAGAGAGCAGAAACCAAGGCTCCACCTTTTCTGTTGTTGAAATCTTAGATTTTACCCATTTCATACTCTGGGGTACCACATACTAAGTCTAAACATTTTGTTAGCATAATCAGAATGCTGGAAATGCTTCCTCATAACTTTAAATCATACTATCTATGGTTTTGAATAGATAAAATTCTAAATAGAATTTAAAAGACCTGGGAAAGGACAAGGAAAGACAAGGAAATGAGCCACCAGTTTCACCCTGCTCTTCATGAACCTTACTAGATAAGGCTGCCCTTGTTTTGTTTTTTAAGTATTATTATTACTAGTAGTAGTATCATATGCTGTATGCAATGTAGAATAAATATATCTCATTAAAGGTAGCAGACTCAATTTTACCAAGATATAATCCACAAACCATACAATTCACCTTCTACATGCTGTTCTATATTGTACTTTATCAGGCTTTTATTATGAAAATTTGTAAGTACCTATAAAGGAAGGAGAATAGTATTTAGAGAACCTTCACATAACTATCATCTCAGACTAAACAGTTACCATGACTTGTTCTCACATATGCAAATGCTTTATTTGTCTTCTTCCTCCTTCTCCTCCTCCTTCTCTTTATCAGTCTACATATGTTTCAATATGCAACACCAAATATATTGCCTTACATTTTTACATAATATATAGAGACCATCCTTGGCAATCTAAGTCACATTTGTGTGTGTGTGTGTGTGTGTGTGTGTGTGTGTGTGTGTGTGTGCGCGTGCGTGGTTAATTGGAGAAAAGAGTCTCACAGAGACTTCTGCCCAGCTGGCTTTGAACCACAGTCCTCAAATCTCAACCTCCTGAGTGGCTAAGCTTGAAGGTATGAGCCACTGGCACCTGGCTGAGTAACATCATTTTTAATAGTCCTCTAGCATCCTAACATAAATGTGCTGTGCTTGATTTGATTGCTTTTCTAATAGTATTTCCTTTTTTCAAGTGTTTACTGTATTAAAAGGCTGCAGTCTATTTATATAGAGTATATAAATATCTACACATGTATTTCTATGCAAATACTAGTATGATGATAGGATAAATTCCCAGAAGGGAAATTGCTGAGTCAGAGGATATTTTAGTTGTGCTTTTTGCAGATATTATAAAATTTGTTACATAAAGGTGGTTCTAATTTATTTTCCCATCAAGCAAAATATAAAATTAAAAGTTTTTCCCAAGAAGTTTATCAAGCTTTTTGATTTTTTTTTTTTTTGGTTAGTCATGGGCTTGAACTCTGGGCCTGGGCACTGTCCATCAGCTCTTCAGCTCAAGACTAGAACTCTACCACTTGAGCCACAGCACCACTTCTGGTTTTCTGGTGGTTAACTGGAATAAGAGTTTCACGACTTTTCTTGCCGGGGCTGGCTTTAAACTGCAGTCCTCAAATCTCAGCCTCCTGAATAGCTAGGATTACAGGCGTGAGCCACCACTGGCACCCAGCTGATCTTTTCCAATCTTTTAAAAAAAAAACTATTAATATTATTTTATTATGAAAATACCATATAGAGGGGTTACAATTACATGAGTAAGGTAATGAATACATTTCTTATCAAGCATTGTTGTCTCCTCCTTTGTTTCCCTTTACCATCCCTTCCCTCCCACCTCCTCAGCTACCTCCCCCTCCCCTCCAGAGTTGTAAAGTTCATTTTTCGACATAGCGTCTTGTACATCTCATTGTTGCAGTGGGTCAACCTTTATCCCTATTTAAACAATTTGTGTTTTCCCTTCCCTTCCACAAATTATACCAACATCAAATACAGGGGTTATATCCTGAGGGAGGGACATACAAAGCAACAAAAAAAATCACCTTATAAATATATTAGAAACAATAGCAAGAAAGATAAAACATTTGAGTCCTTATCTTGGGGTTCATTTCACCTAACATCAACTTACCTGACCTTTTCTGCTTGTCTCAGACATATACTAGTTATTACAAATAAGGGAAACCATGGGACCCATGTTTCTTTGGGCTGGCTTACTTCACTTAATATAATTTTTCCAAGTCTTTCCATTTCCTAACAAATGGGGCACTGTCATTCTTTCTGATGGAGGCATAGAATTCCATTGTATACATACATATATATATATATATATATATATACCACATTTTCTTGATACATTCATCTACTGAGGGGCATCTGGGTTGGTTCCATATCTTAGCTATGGTAAATAATGCTGCAAATCCTCAAAGAAACAACTGCCCAATAAATAAGTGGGCTAAAGATTTACAGAGAAACTTCTCTGAAGAGGAAAGAAGGATGGCCAATAGACGCATGAAGAAATGTTCAACCTCTCTAGCCATAAAAGAAATGCAAATCAAAACAACACTGATACCACCTCACCCCAGTTAGAATGGCTATAATCAAGAACTTTAACAACAACAGATGCTGGAGGGGATGTGGACAGAAGGGAACCTTACTGCATTGTTGGTGGGAGTGTAAATTTGTTCAACCACTTTGGAAAGTAG